CATTTTTCATATAATTTTCAGCCATTGTATTTCCTCCTGTGAGAAGTGCACATTCATCTCAAATGCCCATTTTTGAATTGAGTCTTTAAATTTGAAGGGTAATTCCTAACTTTTTTCAGTTCTTTGTGTATTTTAGCTAATAATCCCTTGTCCCGTGGACAACTGGCTAAAACTTTTTTACCATTCTTTTGTGGGTTATCTCTTCACTGTACTGGTAATTTCTTTTGCTATGCAAAAGCTTTTTAATAGGATAAGATCTTAGTTGTAGATTCTTTGTAGTATATCCCATGCAACTCGTAACAAATGCTGGCAGAGGTGGGGGGAGGCATGGAACCCCTTCACTGTTTGCAAGAGTGTTCACAGGTGATGCTGCTGTAGAAATCAGTGTGCAAAGTCCTCAAAAAACTAGGATTAGGGGTCCCATTTAACTCAGCAAGTACTGTGGTAGATATCTTCCCAGAAGAATTAAAACCTCATGCCACAGTGATCTATGCACACCCATGTTTATAGCAGTATAGTTTTTAATAGCTAAATCTTGGAAACAACCCAAACTCCCAACAACTGAGGAATTGATAAAAGAGATCTGGTTGGTTTTATACAATGGAGTACTACTCAGCCACAAACAAGAATAAACTTCAGACATTCTTAGGTAAATGGACATACCCTGAGACCACAGCGTTAAGTGAAATGTATCACACATATAAATGTAAATATCCCATTGTTTCTTCAGTGTAAGAAGCTGAAAGAGCATAACTATCCTAACTATCCTAACTATCATATATATACATATATATTTTTTTTCACACACACAGTCCTTTATTTATATCCCCCTTTCTTTGTCTTGTTTTGTCAGAGATGGGTGTTCCATTGATGTAAGAGAAGCTGTATTTGGAGAAGTCTTTAAAGAATCTTTTCAAACTTGATGCTGGGCCAAAGACTGTAGGTATTTCAATTGAACAAAATAACCCAATATAGTCTAATTGTCCATAATACTAGTGGGTTATCAGCACAACTGGCAATTGTCCGAAGTTGTTGATGTGAGCCTTTTACAGCTCAGCATATTAATATAGCTTTACTTTTTAAACCTCATGGTCACTTTTCTGCTGGATGGTTAAGACTAAAATAAAGCAAGACCTATGTAACTCAAAATGTAATTTTTTTCTGTCTGACAAGGTCAGTCAAATCCCCTCAAGATTTACCATGGAACCATGTATAGCACCTTGTGAGTCTTTTGTCGGTGTCAGCCATCTGGATGAGTTATAGCCATTGCTTGACCAATTTTTTCTCTGTGAAAGCCTGAGAGAATTTTTTCTTTCTAGGTGACTCTCCTTAGGCACACTAAAGACCATCAATATACAGCTACTTTCTCTTAGTTCATTGAGAAGAAAGGTTTGTGCTAGTATTGTTTAGATGAGACATCACATCTGCATCTTGTCCTCTGAATAACTACTAGGAAGACAACAATATGCAAAGTATTAATTATTATAACTGTTCTACTAACCTGTTTTGAAACTGTTTCAC